GCACCCAAAAGCACAATCTAGACCACGATTTTGTGCACGAAGGAAAGCCAAAACAACGCTAGCCCAAGATATTGCGAAATCTGTTTAATGACTGTTACAGCTATTGGGCAAGATACAATAAATAATGTTATGAGTTGTTAAGTCTCCCAACAAACTGGAAAACCATAAAAGTATTGACTCTATTGGCCCCAGTCCAGGATCAAACGCAGCAAAGGTGCGACACTGGCCACAAGATCCTCAACGGTCTTGGCAATGGCTGCATTGCTGGCATCAGCCCCAATGGAGCAGTCGGATGGCGTGTGCACGTCCTGGCGTTAGGAAAACCCAAGGGATTACTATCACCTTGCCCATTCAATGGCTATTTGGTATACCGAATTCTCAGACACGGCCACTTCACAGGGAGATCCCACTGGAAGGTCCTTCTCAACAATCTTGCTGAGCAAGAGAGCCGTGTTGCCGTCAAAGGTGATTTTGCCTCCCTGAAAGCGTGACTCTGCTCATCTAAGAGGGCAAAATGCCGCAGCTTCTACCACGGATCTGCACGGTTGAAACCACTACGGCGCTGCGCCTTTTTGAAGCTCGCAAATTCCGCCTTGCTGATCACACCATCCTGCTTCCGAAGCCCTTCCCCGATGGAACAACTGGAACATTCCCTGACTTTGTCATACTTTGGGCATCTTTCAGCTGTGGTCAAGTCCTTGTTTGCATCCATGGCCGCAAAGCCGCCCTGGCAGCTGCTTGAATTTGTTCTTAGCGCTACATGTGGCCAAATCATAGATTCTTGTTGGCAAGTCCACACTATTCATACATTCTCTGTCTAATCTGTCTATTATGTCTATTGGCCTATGCTTCAAGCGACTGATGGAAACGATGATACTTCACTGACATGGTCAAAGACTTCAGGAAGTGATGCCTACCTCGGTCTCTTGCTCCTGAACCGATCAATAAAGTACTGTAAGCTGGACATCTGTCATTAACAGCTCTCACGCAAATTTACATCTGATCTTCAACATGTTCTCCCGGCGTTGGATACTGTATCTTTCTCTCCTCACCCGGAAGCTGGAAGGCTTTCTTCAGTGCCTCTATTGCCACCTCAATACATCAAACATCAAACATCATCAAACATCATCAAACATCATCAAACGACTGTCCACGGCTATTGGAGGCTGCAAGGTTCATGAAGTTCAAGATGTGCTCCAGAATCCCATCAGAATCTCATGCCACATCGTACGGTTGTCATCAAATTTCGAAGTCGCCTCCTCTCTGACTTTGGCGCTTGTAGGGCGAGCACCTCGCAGCATCGCAGGCTTACAGCAACTTGGCTATCTAAATACAAACTATCACCAGCTACCGCAAGCTATCACAAGAACTGATCATCTGAATCTTGCCTGCAGAGGTTGCCTGCCACAAGGACGCAGTCATTGAGTTTGGAGTGTCGCCAATGGCCACAGTGGTTTGGAAGCCGAATTACAATTATTGGAATTAGCAAGACAATTTCCGACAGCAAGACTTCATCACAGTCTCATGCCTTGACACGGATATTGCCAATGACCAAATCGCCACCGGATTTTTGCGCTTGTCTGGCTCCTGGGACCTCACAAGTGCACTCAAGCCATGCTGCATAAACTGCTTTAGAATTCCTCAAATCATGGCATCCCAGAAATCCCCCAGAAATCCCCAGAAATCCTCAGAGATGTCAGGAATCCCAGGAGTCCCAGAAATCAAGGAATCATATGAATCAATATGAATCATTCTCCCAAAACAGTGACCTTGGCCACGTGCTGACCAATGCGACTGATCCTCGTCGTGCACTTCTGCGAACAAGACTTGTTGACAAAGCATGGAACACAACATAAGACAACCTATGGCAAGTGGGAATCTCATGGATGACTGTAGGACTCTATGATATAAATCCATTCTGACTCCTTATTTGTATGACTATTTATTATCATACTATATATATATGTGAGTATATATCACAATATATAAGATAAATATATATATATAGTTACATAATATTACATACATCTCCTAAGCCAACCTTGTTACTGCTGTGTTATGTCAGTGGGTCCAAAATCCTGAGACCTTGGCAGTGGATCTCCATCGCCTTGAGTGGCCCGTTGCAACACCACTGTCGCAGACCCCACGTCGCCGCATGCAATCCTCAGTGCCAAGCGGCGATGTCAAGTGCCACAAGTGCCCTTTAAGGTAAACATATGGTAAACATATGGCTATAGAAAATGGATGAACATATCCATTTAATATCATTTAATCATAATTCCATTTATAGATGATTTATATATAGCTATATAGTAAACATGGTGAAATTCCGTAGCTATGATGAATTTGAAGTGGGGAATGGTTCTTGCTTTCATTTCCAGTAGAGGTAGCGCAACGCGTGAGCCGCGCACGATATCTTCACTTTCACACTCCCAGGTGCCAATGTCACCTGTTGCGCGTGCCATGGGTCATCATGCAACTCTTTCCGGAAAAAGCCAGTACGAGTACAATCCGTATGATCTGCAAGCGGTCAAAGGAGTCTTTGAGAGACGGACCCGGATCTGATCTGGCTGAATGCCTGCCTGACAAGTCCAAACAACAATTCTGGGCCTCAAAGCCATGCAATTGTGTGCTACAGGTTGAAAAATGTGAAAAGGTTGAAAACCTCCTGCCTGTTCTGCCAGGCTTCTTCGGATTGCTTCCACCATACCAATGGTGGTTTCTGCTGATGAGATCACGGTGTCGTAGTCCATGTCCTCGAACCTTGGTCTGAGAACTTCCAATAACAGATGTTCACAGGCTGCTGAGTCACATTGAAACGTCAACATGGAGGTTTAGAGGTTTTATGAAGTTGATATGAAGTTGTAAGACTGGCAAATCTGCAGATTAAAAGGTGCTCTGAATTGTTTTGACATTCTCTGAGCCATCTGCGCAAAATCCAGCTCTGCGATGGCAGGCCCCTAGCACGTGCCCAGTAGCTGAATCCGGGGAAGTCAACGAGCCAACTGTGCTAAATCAGGGGGTCAACAATTTGTTTCGCAACTCAGGGCCTCCACAACTGGACCTGCGGAGCCTGACCACAGAATTCAGTCACACTATTGGATGGTTTCAATGGGTCACACACACAGCCTGCTGGCTCCTTCTTGCGGAAGTCAACATAAGGCAGTTGCACCTATTGTCGTCTGCAACTGAAAGAAGTGCTCCAGACACAAAGGTTCTCTTCTATAGTCACATTGTTAATCTTAGGTGCTGACCAGTGGTACTGCAGCTACACTTTCCACGTCCAATGTGGCAACACTACCTTCTCTCACAGCCTCAGCCGGGACAACCTCAACCACTAGTCACTAGTTAATTCATTATGTTTTATATTGTTTTATAATGGTTTTAGGAAATGCACATAGAATGTCTGTTCAGCAAACATGAAAGATTTTGAAAGTCGGTGTTTCCAGTTATTCCGAACAATCTGTGACCCCTTAGTCGTCCCTGCTTCAAGAGACAATGCAATTTATCTTTGCAGGACACTGTCGAACACTGTCTGGCCAAAGACCCGAGATGTGCCCACCATCCGCACCAGCCCAAATATCTTTCGGGACCAAGCAGATTCGAGGTTTGTCTCAAGCTGACTCTTCAGCCAGCTGTCGATCTTGACCTTGCATGAATCAACAAATATCAACTCATAACTTGATTTCTTTCCCTTGCTCTGCAGCATAGAAAGCCTCAGGTCTTTTATACTGTTCTTGGAAACGACGCAAGTCCTACGTATTCCAAGGTTAGGACATCCGGGGTGTCAGTCCTGGATCCAGCGCTGCACAGAGTGGCCACACTTTCTTCCTTGGCAGCCTGGCCGCTTCGCTGACGATGGCCAAGCGGAGCATGTATTGAATCATTAAATTGTCATGAATTGTCATTAATGTCATTCATATGATTCATATGTCATTGATTCCAGACAGATTGTCATTGTGTAGCAATATATGCAATATGTCCAGCAAATGGCCTGGTCCAAACTGCTTTCGAGCATGTCCAGCTGCTCCTTGAGCCAAGCATCAACTTTGGCCTCGCCAGGTCCACCAGGTGCCAGGTGATGCCAGGTGATGCCAGGTGATGCCAGGTGCCAAAGCTTTTGAAAGGTCAACTGGCACCTGGGTAACCGGGTAACTCGAGTCTGAGTTTGAGGTCAGAACAGGCGGAGTCCCAGATCTCGAGTCAGTGTTGCTGACCACTGCTACGCTGCCTTCTCTCACGGCCTGGAGGTCGAGACATGCTACAAATATCGAATCTAGATGAATCTAAGATACAAAAGAATCTGCAATACCTACAATGTGTACATATAATATTTGTACGTATTTATAATATTTTACAATCATATTTTTTTCAAATTAAAGATGTTGTAGAGAAATGCCATCGCTAATATCCGATTGCCATCGTTGACACCGCCACCATTGCGGTCATTGTCAGGCCATCCACCAAGCCTCGTAATTGCTTTGCAGCTGCTTTTGGATCCAAAGACGCATTTCGGCCTTGGTCACGGACAGAAATTGTCACTAAGATTCACATTGGAAATACGACATGATAGATGTGATATGATGTGATATGATGTGATATGATGTGATATATAGCTTGCAGCAAAGATTGGACTTGAACAATATTCCACTTCTCACGAGATCCAACAACATCACCATCACAGTAACGAGAAAAGCAAGAAAGGCAATTAGTTTGGGCTGGGGTATCACCACGTCGTTCCGAATTTTGCCCAGACAAATCGTAGTCTTTTGGAGGGAGCTAAGCAGCTATGCTAAGGTTCATGCAGCCTTTGGAGTCTCACTGCGGGAACTTCCACGGCTTTCACAGAGCGTAGCGACACTCTCCTCTTTCACCGCCTTGACAGGGAATCAAATTTAAAAAAAAGCTATGTGCAATCACCACGAAATACCACGAAAGACTGCCTTTACTCCGAAAGGAGTCCTCCAATTGCCCGCCTCTTGAAGGCTTGGGATGAGCCGAGTGTCAATCCAGTTCTTCAATCGGACCTGCCCATGTAGCCGATATAGCCCGCGCAAACCTCCCCTTTCAATTGCGTCCCCTCAAAGGGTGTTTGAAGATGTTTGAAGATGTTTGAATGTTGTTAAGCATTCGAAGATGTGCTCATCTCATCTGCAATCTGTGAGGAGGTTGTTGCTTAATGTGGCTGCTGGACCTGCTCCATCTTCTCTTCCCATTCAACCCTTCTCTTGTACCTTGAAAAATCTTGAAAATCTACAAGCGATTGAACCGACCACTAAACATCGGTGGCCAGCACAGCAGATCTGCGCACATGGTTCGTGGGCTGATCTGCTTGACGCCAACCTAATCCAGAAAGCTGCTACAGAACTGCAAGAAACACCTCACTGTCGTCAAATCTGGCCTCTGTACCAGGTGAGCTAGCCATCGGAGAGGTTCCTGCAACTGTAGCAAGCTCACAGCAAAACTCAACAGCAGGTACTCAGACTGGCGCAGGCTGGGCCATTGGCCAGTCTCATTTCTCTCATTTCAGTCATTTCTCAACATGGATTTGGATGATTTGGATTCCTCCTGATAGTGTGCCCCTTGGCATGTTGGCCTTGGACAGACGTGTGACATACCGAGGAGCCTGGCCATGGCTCCCATGGGTCAACTCCGTCAACTCAGTGAACTCAGGTCGTGGCAGCCACGAAGTGATCGACCAATCGTCCAACAATGACCTGCTCATGCTGCACCTGGACAGGACAGGCCGCCCAACTTGATCTTGGCCACTGGCCACAACGACCACAACAAGGTATGCAGGAAATGCATGTTTATGATGTTTTATGCACGTTCTCATCATGTTCTCTCATTCTGAACTTTCAATATCTTTCAATGGCTTCAATGTCAGGCCTGCTCCCGTGGAGTGATAGTGTCCTACCGTATTCCCAGGCAGAGTCTGCCTCTCTGTCTGTGCATCTGTGCATCTGTGTCTGATGACTCGGCCTTTCTTGATGAATAAAAATGAATAAGACTCTTGCTGGTATCACTTTTCGTCAGTCTTTCATGAAACCTTCATGAAACCTTAGTGCCTTAGTGCTTGTACTCAAAGGAAAAATAGGCGCTACATCACATGGTAATGGACGACATGTGTCCTCCACTGCAGATGCTGTGGCCTGCACTCAAATGCCAAGACACTTGACACTGGCAATGGGACAGAATTGGAGTGAGTTCAAGGAAAAGACAGGACGCCTTCTGAACAAAGTCATGGAACTCCTGGAGCCCATCAGGTGATGCGTGAGACAAGATGACTAGATATGTCAACAAAAATGACGGATGACAATTGATGACGTGATTTCAAAATATGTCAAACATTCCAAAGCGAGACTTGAGCAGCTCACAATGGCTACCCACCTCGCGAGTGATCACACCATCTTTGTTGGTGTCCAGGTCTTCGAAGGAAGCCGCAGCAATTGCTGCATGTACCTTTCGCAGCAAAGTGAAAAAAATAAAAGCGTGGGGACCCAACAGTTCAACATACCATAACATACCTCATTCCTATCCTCCACTGAAGTGAAAGTCTGGTTGAGTCCAACGTCCCTTACTCTCAAGGCTGGCCTGCTTTTCAACTGTGCCCTGCAAGTGGGTTGGCATTGCTGCAAGGGAAATCCGATGAAATCCCCATTGACCACAGGGGCCCATCTGCATCAATTAGTGATCACTTGATAACAACTGCTCTGCCAAGGGCCAAAAATATTTTTACCATCCCTTCAAGCAGGAACTCATATCACTCGCCTCTTTGTGCTTTGACTCATCTGCCTCGCGCGTCGGTGTGATGCTGTCTTCGGAAGCAACAGGACATGTCCAGCCCGCCTCTGCGTCCAAATTTGTGGCCAGCCAGGTTCCCACCGATGGAAGCAGCTGCCACTTAGACTTTGGTGCCTTACGTTCCGCTATGGCAGCTAGTGTACAGACAACAGTTGACAACTGCACCACTGAACCATCCAATTGGTGCCTCTGCAGGCTGAAGCGCAGTGGCCTTCTCCACAAAATCCTTGAACTCCTGCAGGGGGTTGTATTGCATACTGCATGTGCAATGCCGCAATGCCTCAAGAGAGTCACAGCTCACATGACCTCCTTTGAGATGACGCCATCTTTGTTGGCATCGGCATCTGCAAAGGTTGAAGCAATGGCCGCTTGAACCTGGCGTCATGTGTCCCCGAAACCTGGGGGTCAAGTGGTCAGCGGTCAACTGATTCAGTCGCACATTCGCACTGCGCTGCAAAGCAAGGCCTCCGGTCGCAATGGCTTTGCCATGTACCTCAACACATGTCAACACATGTCAACACGGTAAAATTCTGCTTACGAGAACAAAACCTTCTCGTTGTCGTGCCAGGTTCCAATGCAATGATCAGAATCCACCAAGGCAACTCTCTCGAGACTGAGGAAGGCTTAGACAAATTGCAGACGTTTGGGTTTCATTTCTGGAACCATCCGTAAGTCCTTAATTGTCATTGTGGTTGTCCCAGTTGTGCTCATCACGTTTCCCATTTGGTTTTTGCATGTTTTTGCCCCTCACTACCCTCAAGAAACAGTACATGGAATCCTCTGGTGGTCACTTTGCTAGGGCCAACAATGTTCCAGTCAAACTTCAACAAATGTTCCGAACCCGAGTTGAATCAAGATTCATGCGCTAGACTCTAGACCATGAAATCGATGCATGACGTGCCCTTCGAATGACATTTCTCAAAGGCACCATGTTCCCACGGAAGGAAGCAAAGGAAACTCCGCAGGAGGAGCAGGTGGCGCTGGCGGAGAGGATTCCTGCTGACATCAAGCTTTTGAAAAAAGCGGAACTCCTGCTTGAACAACAAGGGAAACTGCCGCTACCACTTTCAGAAGGAAAAACCGGCAAAGGTTCGCATTCGTCACATTCACAGCTTGACTCAGCTTTTCAGTTTTTCCCGACCTGGGGAGGTGCTTCAACCTTGCAAGATACATCACAGCTGACATAGAAGCTTCTTGTAGAGGCACCGTGTTGAAGGTGTGCAAATGTTAAGCAGTCAATTCAAGGGTTCAAGAGAAATGGTTCAATTTTTTCATATAAGGCTTCAAGATTCCTTCAGTCCGTGGTCTTTGACCACCCGACCACCCACGGGAGCTGTGCTCAAGGTTTGGCCCCTTTGCCGAGACGAGTCACACCAAGACTTGCTCGAACTTTCGCAACAAATGCGGCAAACTCCTGGAGCAGAGTCTTAAAGAAGAAAATAAATGCAACACATAATGCAACGCTATGTACATCTATTTACACCATGTCACAGGATTTGTTTCTAAACTCGGAAGATTCATCACCAAAAATGTCATGTGAGATGGAACAACTCATGCGCTTACTAAAGAGAGCCTGATCTGACACCGCTACAAGTTGAACCTTCGGCCCCTTGATTCAATTTGTAGACCCTGGTCCCAATGATCCCAAGTGATATGTCAATTTGATTCAATTTGCCCAATCAATCCCGATAAACTATGATAAACTGATACTTTCGGGGTGTAAATTCTCGGTCTTCTCGTCTTCTCGGTCCCCTTGTTGTGGAAAACCCCTTAAACCATTCCTCCGGCGTGATAACACCATCTTTGTTCAGGTCGATGTCGTCGAAGGATACTTCTGCAATCGCAGCAAGCACCTGACTTTCATGGCGCCAAGTGCTACGTCTACGACATTCTACGAGTTCCTAAACCTGTGACCTACCAGTGCCACAAAAGAGAGCATGACCTGCTGGTTGGAAAAGGACGGGGACATCGCCTGCAGCAGACAATTCATCGCAGAACTAAACAACTCCGGTTGTTGGGGTAGATCTAGGAAAAATCTGGACAAATTGTTTGCTGCAGGCGAATGTCATGGCTAGCCAACCAAATCGTTGTTGTTTTTATTCTGGCCTGCTGCATTCGCTCATCTTCAGCTGATTCCTGCGGTCTCATGGTTGAAAAAACAAGGACTACAAGCAGGGGGGTCTTATTATGACAAACACTTCAGAGCCCTCTCCATAGCACAATGATGAAGAGCCAGAATGGATGTGTTCTTGCACTTTTGCACTTTGCAGTCTAACAAAACCTTGGAATCTATTCTGCTAATTGCAGCAGCTGTAACATAATTTTTCAAGTATCCAGGTCTCAGACCCAGACTGGATCAGTTTAGATCAAGTAGGTGTTCTTGTTAAACAGCCTATTGTGTGTCCTTCCACTATACAATAATCGGTCATTGTCACTATGAGATTTCAGATTGCTCAACCCCTTGGTTAACCCACCAACAGCCCAGCTCCTTGGCCTTGACCTCCTCTCGGCCCTGGGTGAGGAACAAAGGTGATGGGACAGGGAAACAAAAAAAAAACGAACATCACAGAAGATCACAGATGTTTCCATGGAACGTCATGTGACACTTCAATCAACTTCAATCTGTCAGATCTGTCAGATCTGTCAGATCTTTCAATGCAAGTACTTCAGCATGGCGTGACCGGTTTCATTATCCCATGTAGGCTAGAAGTTGCGCTTTTAGATGGCAAACAAATGCATCACGCTTGGCATGACGAGCAACGGGTGAGTGAGTTGACATAGGCGATGTTCCTGGCCAGTTCAACACTCTAGGTAGCGATCCACGAACACAAAAAAGGGGTGAAGTACTGCATCCAGCAGGTCCAAATCTTTGCCCAGAGGACCCAACAGAGATTTCACAAGATGTCTGAAACTGTTCAGAGAGGGGAAACAACGGGTGTGGCATCCCAAGACACGAAAGTTCGTGCCTCCAGATTGAGTCGCTCGCGGCATCATGCCAGCCTCAAAGGGTGAAATCCAATTGTCATTGTGGTTTGCCTCCACTGGCCATTGAGCTGCAACCAAACATGTGACTTTGTGTCACCAACATGGCTTCACTGCGGACTACTTCTCAAGGTTCGAAGATGGGCTGTGACTGCTACATTTGCAAGACAGAATCTTCCACTTCAAAAGTTTGCACGAACTAATATCTTATCAG